ATCGGACATTGTTTCGTTCTGCTGTGCATGGGGTCGCTATGAGTCGGTTCCAACTCGATGGCACCTGACAACAACAACAACAACTGTTGTAGGCATTAAAGAGAATCCTGTGGTGGTTCATTTGGGAGCACTTAAAATACTAACACAGTATTTCAGCTTCGCTTAAGATGTCTATGTGGAAGCAGTTTTAAAAGAGCCTCCCTTTCAGTCTGCTTAGTAGGGATGCTCTGCTGTAAGTAAGTGAATATGAGAGTTAGGGTTTTTCAAAGGTGTCACTGTCACTTTGCAGTTTTCTAGAGCTTATATGGCATAATATGTACAGACTATAATTGATGTTGTAGCTGTGTTTCTAAACCAATTCTATTCTTCTAAAAGTGTTCATTCTTTGAACTTGAACCTTCTTTACTAACTCATTGAGTAATTGAGATTTTTTAAAAAAAGGAAAATCTGAAATATTATCTTTAACAAACTGTCATGACAGATCCATCTGTATACCTAAAGGTCTCACAGGAAGATGTTGGGGACATGACTTTGAAGAACTGGACATTCTTACTCGGGATTCTTGGGGTACCTTTGAGCAATTTTCTGTATTGATGCTCTTTTAACTACTTTGAACTTCTAGAGACTTCCAAGACAGCCAAATAGTTGGATTCTTATAAGATGGATTTTATCCCATGTTAGTATTACAGGTGGAAAATTTTGGTACTGAAAAGCTAGTTCCTAACTCTAAACTTATCAGGTACTGATTTGAGCACAGATATGCTCTGAGTGTTACTTTGATGCTGGATAAGTTTCAGTGGAGCTTCTGGACTAAGATGGACTATGACAAAAGGCCTGGTGATCTACTTCCAAAAATTCTTTGCTCTTTAAAGTTCTGTGCCAATGAAAACCTATGGATCACATTGGTCTGGTCTGCAGCCAATAATTGGGATGGTGCAGGATTGGGCAATGTTTCTGTAAGTCAGATGCCAATTTGATGGCAGCTAAAGGGAGCTCTGGTAGCGTAGTGGTTACGAATTAGGCTGCGAACCTTAAGGTCAGCAGTTCGAAACTGCCAGCTGCTCCGCGGGAGAAAGATGAGGCTTTCTACTCCAGTAAAGATTTACACCCTCGGGAACCCTATACAGGGTCGCTATGGGTCGGAACCGACTCGATGGCACATAACAACAACAACAACAATGACAGTAACGAAGTCCTGGTGTGGCGCTGTGGGTTAATGCGCCAGACGTTTGAACTGCAAAGTCGGTGGTTCAAGCTCACCAGCTGCTCCTCGGAAACCCTATACAGGGTTGCTATGGGTTGGGACCGACTCAACAGCACTTAACAACAACAACAATAACAGTAACAATGTTCTGGGTAAATAAATATTAACCAGACTCTTCTCTTAATTGTTTTGGCAGGTTTGCCAGGATGGTGGATAAGAATGTTTACATCATTCAAGGGGAGATTAACATTGTGGTTGGGGCCATCAAACGAAATGCCCGATGGAGCACCCACACTCCATTGGTAAGTGGGAAATGGCTAATAACTTAATTGTTACAGGGGACCTGATAGTAGTTCAAACAGTAACCAACCTTCCAGTAATAAGGAGAATAGTACATTTTAGAATTGTTCTTTGTCTTAAGACCCCTTCTATTTTATTATAATTAGCATCAGATTTATGGGCTACCTTTTTTCCTCTAGGACCCAAAAGATGACTTCATTCTCTAGCTGTTTTGTAAATAACTTAAGCTGGTATTTGTTGTTAAGTGCTATTGAATCGGTTCTGCCTAATTGCAACCCTATATAGGGTTTCCAAGGCTTTTTAAAATCTTTGCGAAGCGGAAAGCCTCATCTTTCTGCTGTGTAGTGGCTGATGGGCTCGAACCATGGACCTTGTGGTTCACAGTCCAGTGCTTATCAATATTTGTGACCTTTTAATGGCCAAAATTGCCTGAAAGACCCTTTATCCTTTCATTCCTACTGGCTATAATTAGCTATCAAATTTATTTAAATTAATTTAATTATTGATTTATAGACTATGACTTGGTATATTTTCTTGGGATTCAACACATTTCCATATATCAAGGTCATATCATCAGGTTACTTTCTTTGTTGTCAACTTTGTTTCTTGTGTGATCAAGGATTTATTTATGTACAATTATGCAAAACAATTCTTGGCACAATTATAAAAGTAAGTTTTGAAATTTCCAACTTGGTGAGAGCGCATGTGTGAGGGTAAGTAAAAAAAGTATTGCTACCAGGGTTTCAATTCATATGCATGAGTTTATTCCAAATATTACATATTTTTAAACACTTTCAAATATTCTCTGCAATCAGTTGATGACTGCAGACAAGCTCTCCTAGTAATACACTTAGTCTTTTTAGGGTGCCTTCATAAAAAATAGGTCCAACTGAAACAGTGACTTTCAAGGGGATCTGCTGGGCTAGTTAGATTCCAAAGGAAGGAATAATCTTGATAGATTTTCCCAAAGGACACAGGATGATCATGGGGGCTTATGATGAAGAAGTTTCAAGGAAATTGAAAACTGCATTTGTGAGAAAAAGGTCAGGAAAGTTGCACCCGGGAATTTTTTCCCATCACAACAATGCACCTGCTTATGCTTTGAGGGTAGCAAGGACTGTTCTACTAGGATTATGTTGAAAAACCATACCCCATCCACCTTAGAGCCCTGCTCTTGCCCCTTCAGACTTCTTTTTTTTCCTAAAACTCAAGGAATATTTAAAAGGAACACAATTTGAATTCCTTGAGGATACCCATACTGCCATTTTTATGTAGTGTAAATCAAACAGCACAGAATTCTTTGGGGAAGGGCTAGAGAGAGATGGAAGCACCACCTTCAATAGTGTATAAATCTAGATGGGGACAATATGTTCAATATCATTTCTTTAGGATCATTTCACATTTTGATATATTTTTAAATAAAGGTTTCTATGATTTTGTAGCAGTAGACTTCCCTCTTGTGTATGTGTTTGGAAATTTTTCAGTTTTTTAATAAAAATACATTGTTCTAAAAGTGAGAGTGAAGTTAGGAATATCTTTGAAATGAACATGTGTGGTTATATAATGAATGTGAAGGAAGAGAAGAACTAGAATGGTTAATGCGCTGCACTGCAGAGTCGTTTTGAAATGCAAGGTCAGCAGTTCAACTCACCAGCCGCTCCTTGGAAACCCTTTACAGGGTTGCTATGGGTCAGAACTGACTTGAAGGCAGTTGACAACAACTACAAACTATGATAGCTTGAGTGCTATAGTTACTGTATAGATTAGTACTTTGTTAGTTACGGTGGTGGTTATTTGCATGGAGTCAGTTCCAACTCGTAAGGACCCTGTTTAAGGTTTCTGAGGCTGTAAATCTTTACCAGAGTAGAAAGCCTCATTTTTCTCCCATGGATCAGCTAGTAGATTCAAATTGCTGACCTGGTGATTAGTAACCCAACTCATAAACCACTATGCTACTTTAGGATTCACTATTTTAGAGACAGCCAGAATATATCAAATAAGAGCTTAAGAAACAAAAAAAATAACCATGGCTAGCTTTCTTTTCCTCAGAAGGAAAACTTACTGGATCTTCTGGTTTGAAGTCAGGGAAAGAACCTTTGAACTATCTCTTGTTTATTTTGCTTTGGGCCCAATAATTACTTTTTTTTTTGGTAATTTATGTGTCCTATAGGATGAAGAACGGGATCCTCTGCTGCACAGTTTCAGTCATCTAAAGGAAGTTTTAAACAATATATCAGGTAAGTTCCTTACAGTTAGGTAGGATTACTCATCATTTCAAAAAATACAAATGTTTGTTTTTTTGCAGGGGGCTACAATCTTTTCCTATAAATGTCTAGAGGTTGGCACACTATATTCATGGGCTAAATCTGGCCTGCAGCCTGTTTCTTTTTGTTTGTTTGTTTGTTTTGTTTTACTGTTTTAAGTTTACATGGGAGAACATCAGCTTTAGTCATCCTATAGTATTTCATTTCATTGTAATGATTACAATTCCCTTCATGCATCATCATTCAACAGTATTTGCTTCTCTATTCCCTCTGGTGTTTTTGTTTTTTTTTTGGATGTACACCACCAAAACACCCAGGAATATATAATCATTCAATCAACCAAAGGGCACACTTGCAAGTTTGCCCCAGCCGCCAGTACACAGCCCCTCTCTCTCCATGAGTCTAGAGTCCTCAGCTGCTCCATCTCTCTATGCCATCATCTCTTGCCTCCTTCTCTGGCATTGCAACCTGCATCCTGATTTTATAAAGAAAATTTTACTGAAACACAGTCTCACCCATTCTTTTACATATTACCTTTGACTGCTTTTGAGCTACATTGGCAAAGGTGAGTGGTTGCACAAAAACCATATGACCTTCAAAGCCTAAGATATTTATTATCTGATCCTTTACATCCTTGGGTTAGGAATCTAATTTACCTTGCTGCCTGGAACTAATAAAACTAGGATGTACTGAGGAGTCAGGTCTGTCAGTGATCCTGGGAACATGGCTTGATGTTATCAGGCTTTCCTCTGGAGTGAGGAAGGGATGGTAATGTTTTCCTGGGACCAACAGCTGGCAGATGTTCAAATGGTACCTGCCAAGGTTGCCCCATTGTTCTTGGTTTTCAGCATATTACCTGCTTGAGAAAATGACAGAGTAGACCTGAAATAGAGCATTTCATGCCAGATTGGTTCTGACCCCCCACGCAGCTTTGGCTCCCAGGAGCAAGTTTATGGGTCAGCTGCCCCTGTGGTCCTAGACTCTGCAATCCATGACCAATTTCTTGTTTTTTTTACTGAAACAAACAGATTTTTCTGATTGGCAGTGTCAGGAGGACTACTTTCCTGGAAGCTGGTTAACGGTAGGAGGCTGGGAAAAGGTTTTAAGCTTGGAGAGAGAAACTGAAGGGACTATGCCCAGGCTATGTGATGGGAATCATGTACCAGTTAGATTGGGGAAGTGGGCAGGAATTCTAGGACTTCTACCCAGTTTAATTCATGAAATTGACTTGGGCTCTGTCCCTTTTTCAAAGGCTTTTTGTTTGCATTTTTCTAAGTTATCTGTTTGCTTGGTTGATAAGCATACCACTGGTAGAAATAGTTGGTTTATTAGACATTGTCAGTAAACCAAAATGATTTTCTTTTTTTTAAAAAAAACAGGGGATCTTTTAAGTACATAAGCACTGTTTACTCCTCTAGAGGTATTATTATCTGATCATTGTGAAAGAATTTATCTTTATGTTTTAGTATCCTGCAACTTCATGGATGACACAACTTTATTATTCATAGAGATTGGATAAATCTATATCAGTATTCTCATAGTTATGTGTCTCTGAGATATACTTGCATTCAGTATTTGTCTAAACTGCATGATAACTGCATGCTCTGTAGCATTTAGAGTAATAGAATATTCTAATACCAAACCAAGAGAGGATTGTACTTGGAAAATACAGGCATTCCAAGAGCAAAGTGTGCATGTTGCTACTTTAGATAAAGCCTTAGCTCACATCAGTGAGAGAGACTTCCTTGCTGCTCCTTATATTTTGTCTCTAAATCCTCTTGAAATTCCTTTTAGGAGGTTATTCTGGAGTAGTTAAAGCAGATGCATGGTTGCTAAGGACTAGGGTAGGAGTAGAAAGTGACTGCTAAGGGGTATGGGTTTCTTTTTGTGGTGATGAAAATGTTCTGGAATTAGGTAGTGGTGATGGTTGCCCAACTTTTTGAATATACTAAAACCCAATGCATTGTACATTTAAACCATACATTTTATTATTCGTGAATTATATACATATATATTTTAAAAGCAGATGTAGACTAGAATAGTGATGGGATCCCCAGTTTTCTCATTGGGCATGGAGCTATGGAGGGAACCTTCAAACTGTGACCTCTGCTGGGCTTTGAACCCATTGCCCAGCAAAGGCAGCATGAGGCTCTGTTCAGCCTCCTGGTCCAGTTTGTCCTTTTATGTCTCTCTCATTAACTCATGGAAGCACATGGCTTTTATATTTAAATTTATTCAAGCTGTAATCTTTGACATTTGAGTTAGCTTTTAGTACAGTTTTGCATTTATAGTAATATATATTATGTATTTTCTCTATCCCCAAAGAATCCGTTTTAATCTTTTCCGGATGCAAATTTCAGGCTGTCTTGTCCCATCTCTCCTCTTTTGCTCACTTTCCCCTCCCCCCATGGAGTGTGTTTGATCAGGTGTGGCAGGAATATCCACTGTCAAGCTGCGCCCTTTATATTAGTCAATATTATCCTTCTCCCCCCTCCCTGTCCGTCTGCCCCTTTGGGCTTTCCCAGTTGATTTATAATTTTGGAATTCTCATCGGAGTCTGTAATACAGTTTGTTCATTATTTAACCAAAACCTGTTTAATGAGCAGAGAGAGGCAATGTAAATGTTAGGCATGTTGCAGTGATGTACCTTTGTGCTTCTTGAAGCGGGTGGGTAGTTAACTCTGTGCTGCCTGCAGGGTTGGAGTGCCTTGGCCTTAGGGGCAGAGGGGCCATCACCTCTCCCTTACATTCCAAAGATACATTTCCTTTTTATGCTTCCAGCTAGCTTGTGTGGGGAGTTTTCTATATTGGAGTTATCTCCAGTCTTATAGCAAGACTGTGTGTTAAGATCTTTAGCATGGGATAGGTGAATGGGTGATAGTGGTGGTGATGTGTTGTGGAGTCAGTTTCAACTCATAGCCACCCTGTATAGGGTTTCTGAGGCTATTAAATCTTTACAGGAGCAGAAAGCCTCATATTTCTCCCATAGATCTACTGGTAAATTTGAACTAGTGACCTTAATGGTTAGCAGCCTAACTCATAACCCACTGCACTACCAAAACTAAGGAGGGAGGGCAACGTATGGCAGCTCCATGTTACAAACATCCGACTTACATGTAAACTCGTAGTTATGAACCAACAACCTCCATAGATCCTATTAAAAATGACAAGCGAATGCTATTTTATGATGTGCAGCAAAACATTATTAATATTATTATTATATTATGTTGGAGCTATTTCGTGCATCTAGAAGTGTTTCTTTAATGTTTTTTATGCATAGAAAAGCATACTATATACTAAACATTTTATTAACTTGACAAACTGTATCCAACTGTTCCAAATTAGTACAAATTTGACTTAAAGACATATTAAGGAATGGATCTTATTTGTAATCTGGGGACTGCCTTGTACTATGATATTTCATGTTGCTTTTGGTTTTAGGTCTGAAGAGTGTTTCAGAAGACTGCCTCTAGCCAATATGGGCTATAGTCTTTGTTCTCTTTGTTTCCAGACTGGGCAAATCCTTGCAGAACTTGTTGATGTGAAATGCCATTAAATCTGTTCCAACTCATAGCAACCCTTTATAGAGTTTCTGAGGAACAGCTGGTGAGTTTGAACTACCAACCTTGCGGTTCAAACTGACCTTGCAGTCCAATGCTTTATCCCACAGTGCCACACCAGGACTCCCTTCAACTTCATGGGTAATACAGTTTTCTGGAAAGCGCTCTAGCTAGTTGTGATTTGTGGTGTTTGGCTGTGATCATTTACCTCTAGATTTTGGCTTCCTTTGTCCTTGATCTTTAGACTTAGATCACTACAAAGAATGTCTGATTTCCTCTTTTTGTGAGGGGGAGAGAGAATCACCATCATAATCTACAGCCCTAGATTTATTCCTAGGAGGTGGTAGTCAGGCATGCCTCCTCTCTTTAATCTTTTTACTAATTCTGACACCAACTGCCCCTCCCACAGCACTTGACTTCTCTGCTGGGTTTGATCATTCATTGCAATGACCACACAGAACTCACAGTAACACTCATGGTTACGGAGTTTGATTGTTGTTGTTGTTGTTAAGTGCCTTAGAGTCGGTTCCGACCCATAGCGACCCTGTACAGGGTTTCCGAGGGTGTAAATCCTTACGGGAGTAGAAAGCCTCATCTTTCTCCCGCGGAGCGGCTGGTAGTTTCGAACCGCTGACCTTAAGGTTCGCAGCCCGATTCGTAACCACTACGCACTAATAAGTTATCATTTGGAATCGGGACTCAGTATACTTCTTCAGTCAGGACAAATTCTTCTGCGCCTCTCCCTGGCCCTCGGCCTCTCCCTGGCTTCGCCACTTGCCTCAGGCAAATGTTACAGAGCTCTTTACCTCTGCTGCTAAATACCTAGAGGCACCTTACTCCTCCAGCAAGCCTCCTGAATGTGCTCAGCTTTTTCACTTCCCAGTCCACTGTTCCATCTCCTGCTAGTCTCTTTGTTCTGTTGCCTCTGCTTCTCTGCTGCTACCTTTTGTATCTTTCTGAAACTGGTGTTACAGCTCGCTGGCTCCTGGGTCTAGGAAGTTCCCAACACAGGGACCCAGGTCCAAAGGATGCCTGCCACTCCCATCTCTTCTTCTTGGTTCTGGGACATCTCATTTTAAGCCTTGTTGTTGTTAGGTGCCGTCTAGCGTAGTGGTTACAAATCGGGCTGTGAACTGCAAGGTCAGCAGTTCAAAACTACCAGCTGTTCCATGGGAGAAAGATGAGGCTTTCTGCTCCCATAAAGATTTACAGCCTCGGAAACCCTGTACTAGGTCACTATGGGTCGGAACCGACTACACGGCACATAACAGCAGCAGCAGTCATTTTTGACTCACAGCACAACAAAATGAAACCCTGCCTGGTCCTGCACCTTCCTCACTATTGTTACATGTGAGCCCATTGCTGCTGCCACTGTGTCAATCCATCTCGTTGGGGGTCTTCCTCTTTTTTACT